AATTACAGTATACACAATGTAATATATAACACATTAATAAGCATTATACAACTTAAATTTATAGTTATAATATGATATAATAATACAATATGAGTAAATTTAATAAATGAGACGAACGTTAACCGTGAAAGGTGAATTCTCAAAACGTGAAATATTTCACTTTCAGTTTGTTCGTATATGTTCTTCTTTATATGTAAATTGTGTAAGTTTCCATGAAAATTTTTAAGCATCAAGCGATTTGTATATACTTGACCGGAAAAAAACTCCGGTTGAAAAACTATTGTTTTAAATTGTTTGTATTTTGTATGAAAAGTTTTGAAGTGCAATTGAAAAGATTTGTGAGTCATTCTATTACTTGTAATTAATTGTTTTTTTTTGGACAATGTATTTAGTCGGAAATAATGACCGGAGGTAAATAAAACAAAGGTTCGGTATGGTATCGTTTGTATTTCGTATAAAGAGTTATGAATTATCACTAAAAAGTTTGTGAGTCATCCAGATAATTTTAATTAAATATTAAAAAATCATGTATTTGGTCGAAATATCGATCTCAAGCGCTGCTGTGGAAGTACTGTCAGGCACGATCAGTATACTATCTAGTATTTCAATACTTATGGTTCATTTTCGGGTAATTATGTATAATAAGGCCTTTTTCGAATTTTGATATTTTTTGCAGCTCTTTTGGTAAAAATATTTATTTTTACTCCAACATTGATAATCAATCGGGGGAGTCCGAAAAATATGCAAGTTATATATTGTTTTAGGTGTACAACTTTTTTTTTATTAGGTATACAACTTTGCTTCCGCCGTTTTCCTATAGATGGCTTTAGCGGTAAGTGGTGGTCGAAATAAATAGATCATAGACGTCATACAATAAACTTGGGCATCTGTCAACATAACCCTATAGAAACATTAGTCGATTTGTGTCTGCATCATAAAGTTATTCTCGATTGAAAATGTCAGTTTACGAGCCAAATTCTCGTCATTTGCGGGAGGTTTTAATTTTCAGCTTCAATCTGTGGCTGAGGCTCATCGAATGCTCTCAAATACTTATAGTGAGGCCGCTATTAATGAAAAAACGTGTCGTGAATGGTTTCAACGCTTCAAGAACGATGATTTTGACGTCGAAGACCGGCATAGCGGTGGAAGAGAGAAGGTTTTCGAAGATGCAGAATTGGAG